AATCCCTTATGTGCAGAACTCGCCAATCGAGCGGCCCCTTGTAGATCTTGGAGGATATTTGTGAAATATAAACATTGTGCCATTCTAACATGTAACCCAATAATTTAGGAATGCATGTCTTGAAGAAATCTTTTTGTTCAATAAAAATTTACTGATTTTAAGTTATTGCTTACAAGGAAAATGACTTCCCACTGAATTATATTTTTAGTGCATAATATATATTGAGTATTGGGGCTATTTAAACTGAACAAATGAATTCTTAATATTTATTATAATTTAGTTTTTATTTTTCTTTTCATTGCTTCATGACAAAATTTGAAATCTCAAAAAAATAAATCATTATTATGTTATTATATGTCTTATTTCTTTAGTTGTCTCTGTATTTAGGTTAACGGAACAGAATATACCAATACAGTTTGAAGAATTAAAGGAATACTGCCACTTGCGATGACCAAAATATTAAAATAACATTTGCGAAAATGAGTCTTAAAATCAGTGGACTTACCTGGTGTTATAACTATACAATAGAATGCGATAAATCCAAAAAACTAAGTAACAATCTAATTACAGATGATGTTGAAAAGTTTTTGGAATTTTTTTCGTTATTTTTCAAGAGAATTGGAATATCAGCCTCAAAATAGTACTGATAGTTTTAGAATATCTTTGCGTTGGTAAAAATAAGATCTTTTGTAAGTTTACATCGAAAAGAAACACAATTCTCTCTTAGAAATTTCAACAAAAAAAAGTCACAAATTTTGTAAAAACAAATTTACCAGTTTGTTAGCTGGACTGATACAGAAATCTGTGCACCATCCTCAGAATCTCCTTCAGGCTAGCAGCTCACTAAACTATATTTAGTATAGGATAATGACCAAGATCCTGTAATGGTGATCAAGAACCAAACTATGTATAACTAAAGAACAAAAGGCTACAACAAGATGTTTAATTTGTGTTGAAATGTTATATTTATATCTCCTAAAACTGTCTTAACGGTCCAGCTAGATTATCAAATAATTCCTTTTGTTATACTTTTCAGTAGTACAGCTTGCCTAACCATACCAATCATCAAAGAACTGTATAAGGAACTACAACGTCATTTCCCTGATATATTCCAAAAAAAATTAGTTAAAGCATTTAAACGTAATAAGAATTTGAATGACATTTTAGTCCACGGAAGATTAAAAGCCATAACAACCTAGATTTTTTTTTTTTTATTTTAGATTCGAATTAATAAATATTTACAAATACTCCTTCCCATTTAATCGTTTTATATTTCTCCTTATATTTTTGATTTATAGAATGTTGGTTACCAAAATAAAAAACTACGATCTCCAGTAAGCCTTTCATACTTTTTTGATTTTATCTGATATTCTAAGATTTTAATGATCATTATTATTACTTTTTGTCGTTGAATGAGATGAATTTTCACCTCATCCTGTGCTAAATTTCGTAAAAGTCTCTAAATAATAAAGAATGCAAATTACATATTAGCAGATTTAATCACAAATTGCAGGCATTATATAGCACATTTACAACAAAAATATACAAAATTTGATTGATGATGGACACAAAAACTTCTCAATTGTTAAATTCTTTTACATGATTTGAAATTGGAAAGAAAACCTGTCACATAATAGTTTGACTTAAGAAATTGCACTGTCTATAATTAAACATTATTTGAAAGTATAGGAAAGGAAATATATTGAAATGAAAATGATGAGAATCAATCAAGATTTGTGAAGATGATTACAAGATAAAACAACTCATCAAGATATTAACTACCAGTGTGTAATCTCATTAATCTTTTAATCCTTCTAACAACAGCTTCAGTAATCCAAAA